ATATATATATATATAAATAATTTCATAAACACAAAAATTACTACAAACACTAATTTAATATATTTTTATTTTTATAAATTATTGTTTATAAAAATATAAAATGGCATGCATGTAAAAATACACAAATATAATGTTAGAATATATATTACAATCAAAATCTTTTTGTACATATAATTACATATAAATCACATATTTACAGAAATGTATGTATGTAATAGGGATGTCATACCTGGGATGAGTGCAACATAGGATAGGATTCAGCGAGCATCTGCAAACAACGTTCTACTTTCTATTTTTTGGATATGATATTCTCATTGTGTAATTTTTATTACAACATTAATGACACATACATATGAAATATTCTAAAGCGGAGAGGAGGAATAGTTGTATTGATGATGTTATTGATTTTTTATTGTAATATATACACTAATACTTTCTTATGTAATCTATTCCAAGGAACTGATTCATATAAAAAAAAATGTAATTTAAAAAAAAGTGTACATCGACATATTAATAACTAAAATTTAGACAATTGTTTGTTTCTAACATCATAATTCAATAAAATTTGTAATATAAAAATTGCATGCCTCTATTAATCCTTTAACAACAGATAACTTAAGATAATATGATAATATTAGGATATCACGATATGATCATATAATTTGTAAAATTGAGTGTACTACAAAATAAATATGTCTTAGTATTTATATATTTTCATGTTAAAAAATTAAAATAATTCATCACATTTACATTTAAGTCATGCAAAAATTTATTTATCATATAATCATAAATCTTTTTAAGATATATGATTAAATAATAAATATTTTGTATAAATATTTATATTGTATATTGAATAAATTTCGAATTAAAATCAAATTAAGATTTAGATTAACATTAAATAACTTACCCTTTTGCCCAAACTTCACACTTTAAAGCATGTCGTTTGAATGCTCTCTGACATTGTCTAGAGGTACGATTTATAATTCCATTCAACGGAAATACAGCTTGGTATTCAGGATTGGCAGACTCTTTGATTGTTGACGTTCTATCCACAGGATGATTATCCAATGGAAAAGGAAATTCAAACATTACATATGTATCAGCTTCTCGTGAATAATTGATTCCTCTGATTATAGAAATTTCTATATCACTATCGTTTAAATCTGTGCAACTCCTGAAAAAATATAATTTCATTTTAATGTAATATATTATCTTATGATCAAATTATAATTATCTAATATTTAAAAGATGTTCACATTTTTCAATTAATAAATAACATTTCTCAAAAATGTTTTATTATTTTATTAGCAAATATATTTTAAAAATTATAAATATAGTAAAATTTTTTATTAAATCCAATCATTATTAAAACTTGATATATTACAAAACATTTATGGACAGCATAGTATAGAGATGTGATGATACTTAAAAAATATTCTTGAAAAAAACTGACATTTTTAAATTAAGACTGAATATTTTTAAATTAAAAAAAATAAAATTTTTTTGGAATTAACGGAGATTATTATAAAATGAATAACTTTGGTGAGTTTTTTTCATAAATTTTCAATAATATAAAATCTTTCTGATATAATTTAATCTTTTTTTTTTTGCTAAATCTTATATATACCTAATTACATATTTAATAGTATAAAAATAAATGTGTATTACTAACTGTACTATTTGATAGGTTTTTGTTTCATAATGGTGTTGTGGAGGTGGCAGAGAGTCACGTTTTCGAACTCTTAACATATCTAAATCTCTTGTATAATTTAATGCAAGCCGTTCCCATCTATTATATCCAGGAACATCTCCTAGCGCTTTTGAATGATCCCGTGTAGACAAACACCACTATAAAATCAATTGTTCATTTATAAAACTTGAAAAATCATATAAATTATTGTTGTATCTTAATCCTTAACTTAGAAGATGGCATTATTGATGTAAATTATGCAAAAATATTAATATGTATTAAATATATTTATTAAATATTAATATCTATAAATCTAATTAAACGCATTTTCTTTGTGAAGGTATATTATTTAATCATTACTTTGATTTGTTTAAATAATTGGGTTTCAAGATTTTCATAAATTTTATCGTCTGTTTCGCTTCCCAAAAAATCTTCGGAAGACACCATTACGAAATTTTCATCCTTCTGTAATGTATTGAGTTCTACTTTTTCAAGAGGCGACAATGGGATCGAGGTCATATCGACAGGTAAGCCAGCTTTGCTAGCTTCTATTAAAGGTTGTATCCCTTTCGCTTGTTTTAGATATTCAAGCGCTAAATTCATATTTCCATCTTTCTTTGCATTTAAAGCAGCTTGTTTTAATTCACGCTGTCGTAGTTGCAATTGTAGCATTTGTTTTTCTGCACGCGATGTAATCCTCTGATTTGGTTTCGGTCCTAATGAAAAATATAACACAAAAAAATACAAACATAAAGAACACTTTATTTTAATAAGAAATAGAAATAGAGAAACATCGTGAAAAATAAGAAAATTTACATAAAAATAAAATACAAATAGTTTAATTTCAAGAGAATATTATATAAAGTATACAATTTTATTTTAAATATATAGCAAATTTAGAATTGTTCTTCAATATTTGGAACTTATTGTTTTCTTAAATAATGTTATATAAAATTTCTTATCTAAATCGATTCATTACTTTTTCATCATTTAATATATAAAAAAAAAGTTATATTAAAACAATATATATTTTTATATTAAAATATAAATATAAATATAAGCATATTAAAGTATATTAATAATAAATTATATTAAAATATAAATATAAGCATAATATTAACAAATATATATATAGAAGATATTTTATTTATATTTTACCTATTTTAGGAGGAACAGGTATTTTTGGTTGCACAGGTTTTATTACAGTATTATCCTCAGATGACTCAGATTTAGATGTAGGTTGCGTGGAGATATCGTTATTTTGTGAATTGAGCGATAATGGTGGCAAACCAGGTGGAACGGGAAGTTCATCCAAAGGTACTACTTTTCCATGTTTGTATAACTTAATAGCATCTTCAAATTGTTTGCAAATTCTACCATATCTTCGTGCTTTAGATGTATTACCCTCATCTTCGGCAGCTACTTGTGTTCTTCTATATATTTCGAGACGTTCCTTAAGAGCGCCTTCAATGTTTTCGGGACCATACTTTGATGGAGTTGGATCGGCTTTTAACATAGCAATTCATATTTTTATGGAATCTTACTTTTATTTTTGTTTTAATTAAAATTTATGAGTATAATATAAAATTATTTAAAATATGATATGTACTTTCTAAAAATAAAATAATAAAAATAAAAAATATATCTTTAATAAACTTAAAAATTATATAATGAAACGTGTAAGATTTAAATGTAAATGTATATAAAAGTGACATAATCGACCCTAAATCTTATTATTTTTATCTCTGAGTATTTTTTATAAAACCATGTTTTAAAGTTCCATGGCAACTGCAACAATTACACATATTTTTCAAGAAATTTAGTTTTATATTAATCATGTTACAATACATAAATTATATTTTATTGAATATATATATATTTTGACATCAAAGTATAATAATAGAAGAATTATGAAGTGCACATAAATTTTATTTGAATCAATGATATCTACTCTTGTGATATCTACTCTTTTTAAAAAAAATAAATTTAAATATACTTTTTTTCAAGAATATTAAATAATATATTATTTAATATTCTTTCAACACATGAATATGAGGTACATATATTTGGCATCATTTATTTATTTGTTGAAAGATAATTTTGAACTAATAATCATTTTAAAATTTAAATAAATTTAAAATATTTTTAGTATATTTTAGTATATTTTTCATTAAAGAAACAGATTAATAGATAGATTAAAAATAAAACACATATCATAATATTATTATTAACAAATATATGAGTTTTGCAATTTAATTCTCTTCTATATCTTACCTGTAGCTTGTTGCTGAACTTCATTTTCTTCTTTTACAGTTTGTGTTACATTATTATTTGGAGAGGGTAAAATTGGAGTAGGTGGCATATCCGATAAATCAAGCTTTTCACCTGCGGCAACTGCGGCAATAACTATATCAAATTGTTTTACAGTTTTCACATATTCTAATGCTTGCTCTTTATTGCCTGCTCTTTTCCAAGCAACTGCTGCAGTTTTATATTTTTGTTGTTGTTGTTTTAATTTATCTAAAGCTTCTTGATCAATTAAGACATCTGCTATTGGTTCCGAAGGATTTTCATCATTTACAACTATATTTGATGTTGCAATTGCTTCACTATCTTCAACTAGTGGCAATATTTTTTCATCTACAATAAAAATAAAATAATATTCATAGAATAAAAGTTAATGTTGCAAATTCTCAAATAAAATTCAGATAATTAATAATAAAATATTTATTGAGAAATTACACTAATACACTCGCGCGTGCTTATATACACATATACAGATAATTTTTTTCTTTAAAAAATTGATAATATAAAATTGATATTATAGATAATTCATAAATCAGATGATTCATAGATCAGAAAAAAATATTCAACATATGCATAAGCA